GAATAGGTATGCTCCTATTTGACACAATCTAAATTGAACTAATTCACTTTATCCATTCACTATAATTTCTTGACAAGGAGAAATATGTTTTCTTATATATTGAATATCACAATTAAACCCTCCTTAGTATCATTAGTTATTTAATAGTTATTAAAATTATCTATTTATTTCAATTGTCTATTAGTGACAGATAAATAAACTGAACTTCGTTGTTGTGATTAAAGTATTGCTTTTCTAAAATCTTAGTCCGCAGTTCTAACCACTCCCTGTGGGATCGATATCTAGGACTCCATTAGAGTCCTATATTACTTGAGCGATACGTATACTTGCGTTGATAAGTGTGACTTTACAATTATTGAATATTCATTACGTCCATATTTATCTTGTATTTTAAGCATATAAAAAGTTGCTGTCAAAATGCAAGAGAAATTTTTTTATGGTTCGTTTGCTTAAATTTTTTTTTTCGCTGGTTTGTTTAAAATTTTTTTTCGCTCATTTCCCTCCCCTCAAGAATGGTCCCGCCCATAAAAACAATATGTTTAATATGTAAATACAAGGTATGCATGTAAATGCCTTCCCTCCAGCCACATCCCGCCTAAATGTGTTCCCCCTAGCAGTGTCCCGCTTCTACCTGGGCCGCCTTCGTGTCTCGCCTTCCCTCCCTCTATCTCGACACGACCTAGGGTCAGCCCGCGGCTTGGAGCTAACTAAGACGGGAACAAACGATCAACGGTGAGAACTAAATTTTCAATATTCATTTACTATTTAACAAATGAAAGAGTCGATGGTAAATTTAAATTAAAACAATATATTTAAATTTAACTCGTTACTAGTTGTTCGCGTTTTCTATAAACATTTTCCCTTCTTTCGATCATTTTTTAAATCACTTAATTATATCTGAAAAATAAGTTTAAAATAATGACGAGTTAACCAAAGTCAGTTAATACTTACACTCCTAAACTACAATAATACCACACATGTTAATTAAGTTTTTAATAAATCAATATAAATTTTCGAGATGTTATTCAATGAATCTTACTATATCAATATCATTCTATATATGTACAACTATCACAGAAATAACGTCTAAAAATCATTTAACATTTAAGGTATTTCAATATCAATATCATTTTTCATTTATGAGCACGAGTATCTTAGTGTTCTCTTGCTAGTATAAAAAATGAGTAACTTCATCATAGTCAATCATGTATATACAAACAGTCAATATAAACATATTATTTATGTGTTCGTCGCATTCAATTCAATATACTATATATAATATATACTAATGCATGATATTAAATAGCTACAAACATTCCTAATAATGTAACCAATAAAAAGAAAGAATATAAAAATTAAAATAAAACTTTTACAAGTGTCTACTAAAGCAAAATGTTAGAGAAGAATCAAAATATTACCATAGATTAAAAATATGAGTACTCACATCGATGATAGATGATATGTTTGCTTTTAATTTGTATTATTTATACTAAATTATTACCTATAAAATATAAAATAATCAATTATCATCTTACTTAATTGTGTTTTAATTTAATTATGAATTTTGCATCGAATTATTTTAATTAGAATTCTAATACTTTAAACTTTTAAGTTTAATTATTGCAATCAAAATTAATATTAAATATTATTAATTTATACAAAAATACTTTTAGAATTTAGACCCTAACATTTTTTAGTACTTGAATCAAATGCATTTAAGTTTAGTGTTTTGGTTAGCATCTGCGAAGTCAGTTCTAAGTCCCCTGGGGTCACGGGTTCAAGCCCGCCTGAGTGCATCTGCCTTATAGCACAGGATTGAGTGGTTAGGCACCCGAGGGTGGCTGGGAGCTCGTATGATAGCCTCCGACTATTCTTATATATATATAATCACATTTATCCTCGATTAAAAACCCTAATCCTGCATGCGAGCGCCCTTTCTTCTCTACATGTGATACCCGACTATCATTCCTTTTGGATTGCACGGGATATTCTCCTCCACACGATCCCGTTTGCGTGTGAGAATTGTTATGGACTGCGCAAAAGCTCTTCTATAGAGCCCCTGTAACGTCGACTCCATCTATTGCGGCTCGACACCGACACCGACTCGACGACGTCATCGCCTTCCTCTACCGCTTGATAGGACAACGCCTCCTGCTTTAGCTTCAGCTCCATCTTTCCTCACGCTCCTTCTTCCTTGGGGCTTCTTCCTCTGCGCTCGCTCGCTAATTCCTTCGCATGTAGAAAGCCTGACTTGCGATCTTCTCACAGTTCGCCTCTCCAGATAAGTCAACCGCGATGTTTTATAGGTGAATTCGTCTCCTTAGCTTCCCGACTCCTCGCTTCCTCTCCCTTCAGCTCAGCACTTTGATTCCCCTCGCCTCTCTTCATTTCCTCTCCCCTTGTAACTGAAATAGGACGTTACACCCTCTGACACACTCATTTAATCCCATATCACGTAATTGTGAAATAAAATTCACCCATGCCTTTTAAATTATGAATCTCGTTCTTACAAAAGGCATTTGCACACCTGAGCTTGGACCTATGGTAATTTTAAAATACATACTTGAAAAAGCCAAAATTTTAAAATTTAAATAATTTTTTTTATTCTACGAGCCGAACACGAACAATAAAAAGTTAACGAGTCGAACATGAATAGTATTCATGAGGTAATTCAAACACAATCCGAACATGAACATTATTATTTTTAAAAGAACCGAGCACAAGTCAAGCTTGGGTCGCTCAAGCTTGGCTCGTTTACGCCCTTATTTATAAGAAACCAAAATATTTGAAAGAAATGATGATAATGATAACCACAAAATAATTTCATATCCCACAAAAGTGCACATGTTAAACACCAAAAAGAGCCACATAAAATAAAAATTATCAGTTAAAACAGTTATTGGTACATGTAGATATGTATACTTCAGTCATTTAATGTCACTATAAAAAAAACTGAACGTAAAGAAAATAGGCCCAGCTTAACATGTACACACCAACGATTTCTTAAGAATATTATTAGTAATAAAAAACAATATAAAAAACACTCCTATATTATTCAATCCCTACAATTCATTATATCATGGTTTAAAATTACACAATATGAGACTCGCCACAACAGTCAAAATACATCTCATTGAGTATTACATGAGACATATGTATCTCACTTATTTTAACTTCTTATATTATAATATATTTTTTTTGATATTGGTACAACCCTTCTATTTTATGATTGATATTCGGAAGTTAGCATGTCACTTCTTACTTCAAATAATTGATTATTTTTACCACACTAAATATTAATAAGTTCCATTTTAACCTATTAATAGGTTATTATGTTAATATATTACTTTTTACTACATACTTTAAACTTAATACAATACTTCATGCTTTGCACAATTTGTTGATTTTGAAATTTACACCTCAAAATATCTTGAGGCTTACACCTCAACACAAGGATTAAAAATTCTTTAATACCCATTGTGCAAATTTAAACTTATCGTCAAAACAATATTACACGTGTTAAAAAAAGTTAGCATGAAAACAGACAGTAGCTATCTACTTAATCTATAAAACCTATCATTATGAATGCATAAAAACTAAATTCACTGAAAAAAATTCCCTTTTCAGGATAAATTTGTCACAAATAATACAAAAATAGGGTAACAGATGGATGAACGTAAAATGTGTTTGAGATTTACCTTCACTCAGGCCGAAGTAAAGATAGAATGTCTGAGTAGCTTGATTTCTCTTTATAAAGCATTGGAGTGGAAAATCTCTTGGACCAGGCTGCAAAACTAAGACATTGAGAAAATACAATGTGATATAGAAATACTAAAAAGCTGAGTATATGTTTTTTTTTCTATAACTAAATTGCAAAGTCGATAGGCACGCAGTTCATGATAACATCAACCACAAGACTATTGCAATAAAACATCTAATGTGAATAATACCAAACACTTCAGCTATTTTCTGCAATAACTACAATGATAAGGCCATATCAAGATTAAGGTGTGGAGACCTATAAACATCTGCAAGTACCTCCCAATCTCTATCTGATCTTTTAACCTGTAAGTATAGAACCTAAAGGAGAGAAAATCACATCCTCATTTCATCATAAGTCTAAAGGTTACCCTCAACCCTGTGAGGTAAAACGAAGGTATACTATCAACATCATTGAGCTCTTCGGAGGTTGTAAACAATGCATTATCTTCCCACAACCTTTAAACATGATAAAATATGATTAACAAATCATCTTGAAGGGCGACAAGTATCCTTTTGATTAAGTTCACTTCCTCTGGCAAAATAAAATTCTACTCATACACATAGTTTTCATGAAATCTATTGCAGAAATACGCCAGGCCACCAAGAACGAAAAAGAATTATTTCATGCAAATAATACAAGGCAAAAAGATCAAAGAAAAAAAAAATCACAAAGTAGCATAAGCGAGTCAACGGTTCAACGAGTTAACCTGTTTCACAGATATTGGGAACGTCAGCTTCCCTGAGACCGCTGGACTCTTAACAATCTCCTTCATGATCTCCCTCCAGCTCCTGCACACCCCAGCACAGGAAACAACGTCCTTCCTATGAGGCCACAAGGCCTGAGCCTCCTCAATCCGCGTCAGAACATCTCGCAAGAGTTCCGGCGGCAAATTGGCCCAGCAGCTCTGCTTCAGTGCCTCGATCGGTGGCGATCTTAACCTATCACGCAAAACCCTGTGCGACCCCGATCTTAGCCCATAACCCAGTTTGATCTGAAATCCCTTCCTGGAAACACTCCCGATCTCCTCCCGCATTTCCTGAATGATGCTTCGGAACGACATCGAATCCAGCTAAAACAAACTACACTATTTCATCGGCGACAGTGGAACTCTGTGCTAAAGAAGCATTCAAGCAATATAACTTTCCCGGTTGAAACCAGCATTATGAAGCAATAACTGGACACCAATCTGGCTGTTGTTTGCAGCCTCAACAATGCTCCGAAAGAAGGAAAAAAAAGCAGGGGATAAGGAAGAAGGCGGCTAAGATGGCGAAATTATCGGATCGGTAGATTTGTTGAGGGAGAGAGTAGAGGAAAGTGGAAGAGTAGAACTTTGTGGGATTGGGACGATGAGATGGACGATGACTAGATCTTACAGCACATTCAATGAAAGGGGCGTGCGGGCGGCGACGAATGATAATAGGTTAGGGAGTAAAAATAAATTTTTTAGCTTAGTTTTCATATATTTTCATACAAATTATGTGACAATAATTATATATATATATATTTTTTTTTCAAAAAAAAGGGGGTGAACTAATATTCATTTTTGAGTTAATTAAGGCCGATTCTAATATCCTTATTATTGCACTGATATCACAAAAAAAATTTGCTTGAGTAGATAAATATGTTGAATGACTCGCTGTTGATAGTGATGCGTCAGAGAGTATTGCTCATGAAGATGTATTAGTGGGCAATATTAGTTATCGCATTGTGACTAGCATGTGTATGTTGTGCTAAGGTTTCAATGGGTCTAATAGGTGTCACTTAGGATTTTCTTTTCATTGGACCTATTTTAAAAATATAAAAATTATATTTTTATTACTCGTATGCATTATATTTCAAAATCTATTTTGAAACTATTTATATCATTAGCTTAAATTATATATAAGGTCAATCTTTTAAAGCTTTTGTTCATATAAAACTTGATCTAGTGGTACCTCTTAGAATCCTTGGATTCTTATGATAGAGTCTAAGTCGGCGACCCCATCAAAACATACACCAGCCTTTTACCCACAACTTACAGAAACTTAGATGTTTTTACTAGGACACAACGCTGTAGATGGTTTGCTATGCTAGGATTATGGTGCATAGATGTTTTTACTAGGACACAGCGCTGTAGATGGTTTGCTATGCTAGGATTATGGTGCTTTGGTAGTCTTTTTGATGTCCTAACTATTGTTCTTTGGTATGTGCCCTAGCTAAGCTTCATTTGCTTGATGATTTGTGTGTTTATTAGGTGTGAGACATGCACACTAGTATATTAAGGGCAGTTTTCTTACAAGGAGTCATGTACATAGCTTTTATACTAACTTGTTTTTCATGAAGTTTGAATCTTTTTTAGACTTTTGCTATGTATTTTTTAGAGTCCCCTAGGCTTGATTCAGTATTAGAGATAAGGTGCGGGCACCGGTTCTAAGATGCTTGACGAACAGAAGCACGTGAAGAGGACCAAGAGTACGTGCTCGTGTCTTGTACTTTAATTCTAAATCTCTTTGTTGTAAAACATTAGACCTAGGTGTGTATATACGTTGTCTGGTTGACTTTTTTGTTTTTTTAAGAAATGTTGCCGACCCAACTGCACTCGATCTTTTATTCTTTGTATTTGGTTTGTTTACCATTGCATAATGTGCTTGACGTTTCCTCTTTCTTTGCTTGTGGATTTTCTGGAAATCATGCGAAAATACAATTTATATTAAAAAAAATTGAATGCCCAAAGGCTATTATCCGACCCTCCAACCACTCCTAATGTGCTTAATAATTTGAGTACCACCTCCTTCAGGCATATATATATATCTCTTTAAATTACAAACATTTAATATTTTTTGGTAACTTCCATTGATAGAAAACATAGAACATTCACCATTATAATATATTAATTAATAAGTTTTTTCTTGATATAGTTTCTTTGTTAAAATGGGGCTTTCACATGTTGGCTCAAAATTGCTCCATCTTTTGATGGGTTGAAATATGCCTTTGAAAAAAAACAAGACCAATTATTCTACTTAAATGTTCTAGATTCTATTAGTTTATCATGATCTTCACTCATTTGCACCCTATATAACTCAATATTTTATCAAGGTTGTAAACAATTTGCTTTAAAACCTACAAATTCTTCCAACCAAATTTAAACATTATGTTTTAAGCTCATTTGATTACTGGCAGTGATCCTTTGTAAGTTAAGTTTTACCTATGAAAGGAGAATGGCCATAGGCTCATAAATTATGGCAAATGGGGTGGACTAAGTTATGGTTTGTATGTGATCCAATAGGCATACAATGTTTCTTAAAGATCTCAACTAAACCATCATCCTAGATGAAAAAAATGGTCGAGTATTTTCAAGTAATATTATAATTTTTTGATGAAGTTATTTATTTTAGAGTTTTTAAATAAAAATTTATTATTATATATAATTTAACGGTGCACCAAATCAATATATGATACAATTTCTAAGAAAATGCAGATTTTTATGGGCAGACCACTCAAAATAATATTTCTCCTATATGCTTAGAGAGTAATCAATCATAGTTAATATAAACCTATGACCCGTATAAGGAGAGTTAGTGAGACCAACAATAACCATGCTCCAAATTTCAAAAGGATCTACAAATAGTATAGGGTGCATCATATTACGTGGTTACCATAAAACTATGAAATGTATCTAATACTATTGAAAATGATGTGCGATCTCTATGCAATCGTTAATCATGGAGAGTTAGTAATATTAAATTTTTTTTATCCTTAAGTTTATATTTAGTCTAAGTTGTCAAGCCCCACATAGACAAGAGTGCTCCACAGTCCTGATTTTGTGAACTTTGTGTTTGTCAAGATATGTATTATCGAACAACTATCAATATATAGTGTAAGTTAATGCTCTCCTTTTGATTTGATTGGCAAGAGATTTCTCTTGAGGTAATTTGCCTCCTTGCAAGTATCTTGTCAATGTTTTTTTCAATTAACCTCTTCATCACCTACATTAATGACTTCCTTCCCTTTACATATTTGCCTTCAATATTTTCCATATAAATAATAGATAAAATATGGTGATATGAATGTTTATACCTATTGAAAAATTTTCATGAGGAATTTGTTAAAAAAAATCATAATATTAATCTTTTTTGAATGGTTTCATTGTATATCGATAGCAATAAAAGTGCTTGAGTTTCAAGACTTTGTAAATTCTAATAACTTATTCGACAACAAAATGGAATCTTCAAAATTCTTAATCTTCTCAATGTCCATCAAGGTTACTACTTCTAGGCGAGTTATTAAGGCTTTGAACTTCATTTTGTTATTCATACACAACTTTGATAAGTGATAATAAATATGAAAACATTCTTCTATTAGGAGTTCTAAAGATTATTTCAATTTTGACTCACCTCAGAAGAGTTCATTATCGTCCTTTGTTTTTTTCTTATATATAGATATGCAAATGATCATCTTAAAGGCCTTAAATATGTACAAGACAATGGAGATTTATGTAAGATCTGTTCATTCAATGTTTGGTTCACCTAATTACACTAACATCATTCACCGGCACTCTAGCAAACACCCCTAAGCTTTTCCTTGTCCAATTAGCCACTCTAAGCCCTACAACAACCAAGCTCTGGCTTGACAACATGGCAAGAGTTTAAAATTTGCAACATCAAACAAAGCATCACAAAGCGTCAGTTAAGCTATAAACAAATTTAATTAAAGCATGCCCAAATCCTTCTTAGGCTTACCACAATTTCTTACAATGTAAAGCAAATCCCAACATAAATTGGGATTCCCACAACATAAATTAGCCATATTTCAATGGTGTAAAGGTGGGTGATTATGTAGCTACTCATGCAATAGGTTTAATAAATTTTATTAAAACTTGAGAGTTCACAGAACTTTGGAAAATTATAACAGATTAAATGCCAATCCAAAAAATATGCAAACAAAACTTGTATGGATTCAAGAAATAGATAAGATGGAAGTCTAATTCTAACTAAATAAAATCAAATAAATCAACAAAAAATAGGGTTTTTTTTTTTTTTCACTTACTAATACATATAATTAAGTAACACTAAATAGGGTTAATTAAATAATTAAAAAAATTAATTAAATCTGATTGATTTCAGAATCAACTGGGATGAACATTGAGATGTGGCTACAAACCTTTACAAAAAATCACCGCGAAGATCCAAACAAAAAGCTATCTTATAATTTCAATGATTCCAGTTGTATACACGTAGATATACACACCCATAGACGACTACAAAATGCGCTGCCACAAATACAAAGGTGTCACTAAAACCTCCATTAAAATAAAAATAATCTCAAAAGACCTGGACAAACCAAAAGAATAATAAAATATTACACAACCACACATAAATTACACTATTGGAAATATGAAGAAGCCTAATAACCCATCACAACCATAAAGAACCTCCTATCTCAAAGACCTGCACAAGCCAAGCCATGTCACTACATCATCCGTAAGCAATCTGTATTTCCATAGGAAAGCATTCTTGGGGAAAAGGTGTTTGGTTCTTGCAAAATAACATCTATTCATCTCCAATGCATTTTCACATTTCACTCTTCTTCTCCATGTCCTTCATCTCTTTCAGTAGGAGAGCCCGGAACAAACGGAACGAAACCCCGGCCGCCAAACACCGGACGCATGAAACTATCGTCAAATTTACGCCAGTAGTGATGCACGGTGTGTGTAGGTTTCAACAAAAGCATTCTTAGACTCGACGGTCGGTGAATGGTTTGCTCCTCACCTTCCCGACCATTCTCGAGGAGGGAGGAGTTATCAAGTAGCGAGGAGAACAAGGATGTCGGAGTTGTGGGCTCAGAGCAAGTACGGCTCAGTTGCTTTTGAGATGAAGGCAGTAGTAGCCTTATGAGGGGTTTTGTCAACAAGCCAAAGACCTGAGTCATAGAAAATCATAGAAATTCAGGTAGGCATTGATGATGATCCTCAGTATTGGTGGAATCATACTTCTAAGGGTAGTAGAAATGAGCCTCAGCAGGGTAAAGTCCCAATTAAGGGAGGCTCGTATATGTTTAAGTACAAACTGATTGTATATTTTAATTAACATCCAAAAATGCACTGTTAAATTCTAAGTAGAATGGAATGAAGAAATTGAGCTATAATATAAAGGAGATGGCTTATACTATTCACATGGAACCTAAATATTCATGCCAGCAAGAAAAAAAAAATAGCCTCAAAGGAGAAGCATCAGTTTTTGGATTTATTATGAGAGCTGAGAGAAGAAAATAAGTAACATACCACTGTGCTGAAAAGAACAACTGTGATGGTGCTAGTAATCATGGTTGCATTGCCGGGCAGTTGAGTGTGGCCAGATCTTGTAAACTGCAAAATGCAAGTACAGCTAAACTTGTCATTGAATCTTTTAATACAACTTTTAAATTACTAAATGAAAACTAATAAGAGATGGATCAGAGAACGTATGTTAGCTTTTTACGTGAAAACCTAACATATGATGGAAGAGTTACTAGAGGAGACATGAGGGAATTTTACATGGAAAAACCCCAAAGAAAAAAATCATGGGATCTTAGCCAAGTTGAAGTAATTCCATTATTCATACCGAATAACAGAAATGAGCAGTACAATAGAGGGAGAAATTGGCTTTACTTTCATTAAAGTGACGGAATATGTTGAAGAAGTAACAACAACCTGGCTACGATAATGGAAGACCGGTGACAAGGGCTGCGTGATGTTGATATGGATTCATAAGCACTGATGGTGGTGGCTACTAGGCAACAGTAATCCAACAAAAATAGTCGTGATAGTCAGACAATGGTGATCTAATGATAGTGATTTGATAATGACGGTGTACCGTGACAACGACATTGACTAAGTAGTGGTGATCCAGTGATAACAAAGATGTTGGTGTGGCGATAGTGGTCCAACGATGACGATGGTCTGACGAAGATGATTTAACTCAATAGCGATGGTGGCCAAGAGATGATGATCCAACGACAATGGCTGTGTAACACAACGGCGGTTGTTCTGGCGTCGCTAATCTAGCATACAAACATCCAGGGATGATGATCCGGTGACAACGACGATGTACAAGTGTGACTGTTGTAGGCATCGGAGATTCGACATAACGGCGGACAAAAGATGATAATCCGATCATGATATTAGGGTGGTGGTTATGAAATGATGATATGACGACCACAACAATGTAGCACAACAGCGACGGCTATTGGGCATCAATAATTTGTATAGCAGCAGTCGAGAAATAATGATCCAACAATAATGATAGTGTTATGGTGATGTCAACTTGCAAGTAGTGATGACAATCTAACGACAGTGATCTGACGGTGGCAGCGGTGGCTCAACATTAGTCAAATGTTTGTGGTTTGGTGGTGGCGAAAACTCGACGATGGTGGTCCGACACAACAACACTGACCTGGCGTTGGTGGTCCGAATTGGCTGCAATGGCCCGACGACGGTGGTCCGACATAGTGGCGGCGGTTCGACGTCAGTGGTTTGACACAACAACGATAGCATGCAATATTATGGCCCAACACGAAGGCGGTGGTTCGATGATGGTGGCCTGACGACAAAAGTGGTGGTCGAGCAATGACAGCCTGATGATTGTGGTGATCCAACAGCAATGGTCCCGCGGTGGTGACTACGGTGGATAGGCAAAGGTGATCTGGAGGTGGCGATGGCTAGATGGTGATGGTTAGGTAGTGGCAACAGTGGTGGCCATGCAACGGTGGTCCGACGATGACATTGGCCAAATGGAGGTGGTCCATTAGTGATGATGGTGGTGGCCGGATGGCAACCTGACAACTGTGGCCCAACGAGGACGACGGTGGTGGCTAGACAACAATGGACCAATGGTAACAACGAACAAACGCCGGTGATTTGGTGGTGATGATGGTGGTAGTAGTATAGACTGTGATGGTCTTGCGAAAATGAAGACCAGAAGTCAGTGGTTTGAAGATGGCGGCGATGAAGCTGGTAACCGAATGATGATCAAACGACGGTGGTCCGATGACAATTGTGCTGGCTGAGCAATAGAGGTCTGGCAGTGACAAAAATGGTGGCCAGATGACGGCCTGATGACGGTGGTCTAGCAGCGAGGATGGCCAGACAACAGTGGTCCAACGACAACGATGACTATAAGTCGGTGTTGGAGCTCAAGAACCCACTTGGAACTCCTTCATTCTTCTCCTCTAGGTCCAAGTCATCCATCATGAAGAGATTGAGACTTATAAATCTTATGAGTGGCGTCCTCCATAAATCTTGCATGAATCCAGACCATTCAATCAGACGACCCCAAAGTGATCCTTTTGATTAGATTATATTTTATGAGAATTTAAGTGTCTTAATGATGTCTGAATCAAATGATCTTAGAATCGTTGAATTCATCTTGTTGAGATGTCATGACCTGACTAGGGGCTTGGAATTAACCAATGCGATACAAATGATCAGACCGTGTGAATTAAATTTTCTATATTAACTTTTAATTTTACAGATGAAAAAACACTACAAAATAAATTAAAGCGGTGCAAATTAACATTACCTCATTACTAGTTGTTCCCGTCTTCTATAAGTATTTTCTCATCTATCGTTAATCTTTTAAAAAATTTATTAAACCTGAAAAATTAGTTAAAACAACAATGAACTAAATTAAACTAATGAATACTCAAACTTCTAAACTAAAATAATATAAGGAAAAAAAAATAATATGCATACCAGTTAAACTTCTTTATAAATCAATATAAATATTTGACACATTATTCAAAGGGTTTATATCAATCTCATTTAATAACTATACCACCGTCACAGAAGGCACCGTCAAAAAATTGTACTACTTAAGGTGCATCAATATCAATCTTTTTCATTTACATGCACAAGTACATTAGTGTTCCTCACTAGTACTATCAATGAGAGTTCTATCATAGCCAAACATACATATTCAAGGATACTACAAATCATTTCGTTTACATTCTAAATATCATTCAATATCTTTTTTTTATAACATGCATGTGTAGTACATAAGTATATCTATGAACCATTGCGGGAACAGAGGTAAGACGGTGTGAATTAAATTTTTCATCTTAATCTACAATTTAACAGATGAAAGAGCCACTACAAATTAAATTAAAGTGTTACAATTAAAATTAACTTGTTACCGGTTGTCCTCATCGTCTATAAATGTTTTATTCTCTATCGCTCATTTTTAATAATTTAATTAAACATAAAAATTAGTTAAAATAAAAGTGAGCTGAACAGTCAGTGAATGCTCATACTCCTAAACTACAACAATACAAGAAAAAAGAACAATGTGCATACCAGTTAAACTTCTTTATAAATCAATATAAATATTTGACACATTATTCAAAGGGTTTATATCAATCTCATTTAATAACTATACCACCGTCACAGAAGGCACCGTCAAAAAATTGTACTACTTAAGGTGCATCAATATCAATCTTTTTCATTTACATGCACAAGTACATTAGTGTTCCTCACTAGTACTATCAATGAGAGTTCTATCATAGCCAAACATACATATTCAAGGATACTACAAATCATTTCGTTTACATTCTAAATATCATTCAATATCTTTTTTTTATAACATGCATGTGTAGTACATAAGTATATCTATGAACCATTGCGGGAACAGAGGTAAGACGGTGTGAATTAAATTTTTCATCTTAATCTACAATTTAACAGATGAAAGAGCCACTACAAATTAAATTAAAGTGTTACAATTAAAATTAACTTGTTACCGGTTGTCCTCATCGTCTATAAATGTTTTATTCTCTATCGCTCATTTTTAATAATTTAATTAAACATAAAAATTAGTTAAAATAAAAGTGAGCTGAACAGTCAGTGAATGCTCATACTCCTAAACTACAACAATACAAGAAAAAAGAACAATGTGCATACCAGTTAAACTTCTTTATAAATCAATATAAATATTTAACATGTTATTCAAAAGAATCTATATCAATATCATATCAATATTATTTTGTATCTATATAACTGTGGTACAAAACACTATCTAAAAATTGTATTACTTAAGGTACTTCAATATTAATATTTTTTTCATTTACGTGCATGGGTACATTAATGCCCATCCACTAGTACATTAAAGGATGTTTCATCATAGTCAAACATGCACATGCAATTATACTATAAATCATTTATATTTACATTCTAATTATCATCCAATATGGTTCTATATAACATGCATATGTAGTACATAAGTATAATTATGCAAATCATTCACATTCATTTATAAATGACCAAATTGATTAATGAGCTAAAATAATTATATTCTATTTGTAGTATAAGATATCTTGACTAATGCGAATGATTTAGAAGAAATACAACAATATTATCATAATTTAAAAGTAAAAGTACTTACCTTGATGACGCTTAATTTGATAAGATTTTGCCTCGACATCGACTCTTTTAAAATGAAAGCCTAGCACAAACATGATATAAAATTTAATTTATTTATTAATTTAAATAAAATATTAACTTTTCATTGTTATTTATGTATTAAATTTTTATTATTTTGTTATCCATATTTTTCTATTCAAAAAATATATATTATAATATATTATTTTTATTATTACTAAATTACTTCAATAAAATTTTCCCTTATCTCTCAAACCGCACGAGGGATCTCCCCTGAGCTCGGCCTACACTAATCTTCCCTTCTCCTTCTATTCGAACACCTTCTCCTGTACGCGATCGCCTTCCCTTTCTTCTTCACGCACGACGTTCCTTCCTCAACTCCCTCAGTTTGATTCTCTTCACAAAGCTCTACGAAGATGTGAGAGCGTCTAGACACGACTCCTTTCTCTCCTTTGTTTGTCATCGAAACAACCTCCTCCTTTGCTCGATAGAGACACCGCTTCTGCCCTAATTCTCATTGCGTCCTTGCCACATGGCTCCAGGTAAGTTGGTGTTCGTCTCAAATAGATGACTTTGCCTCTCAAACTTCCCGACTTCTTCTACCTTCCTCGTTCGGTTTCACGAATCATCAATTTCTTTTCTTCAATTTCACAATCTTCTCGCTTCTTCTCCTCATTCCGTTCATTTGGTTCGACCCCTTCCATCCTCTTCTGTGATTCTTCGTTTCCCATCCCCTATGTACAGAACCGTTATTATCTTCTCTACTTACAAAAATTTCATTCTCGAAATTTAAAAACAAACCTTAAACACATCAACAAACTAAGATCATTCATGAAAGTGATCACTATAAAGGTAAATATTTGATACAAGACGGCTTAACTATACTTCGAAACACAGATAATGAATCAGGAAGATAACACCAAAACTAATCAGAACTCGCCATCATCAACAATAATAGG